TGGTCCCTCCCTGAAAGAATCCTAATGGGCCCAGCTGTGTACAGTGATGCAACACGCGGCAAGAGCCTTCATTTTCACGTTTAACGTGCTTAAGCGGCTTTTGCTTCGAGCCCTGCTCAGGATGATCTGGAAATCCACTCATTTTTGGGTGGTTGCCGCAGGTGTGTGAACATTTTCACGCTTCTTATCGTGGGCTGGTTAAAAAGTCAGACGAGAGAAACATCATCTGAAAAACTACATTTGGGCTAATCCAGAATGAGTGATTCAATTCTGATAGCACGGCTCAGCCAGGGAGTAATAATTTATAGTATCTGTGTCATAACATCCAGCAGTTTCATGATAAGTCATGAATGATTAATGTTAGGGCAAAGCGGTTACAATTTCCTTCGAAGCCCAAAAATTGATGCTTAATATGATTCCTATAAATTCTGCATAAGATCAAATTGGCCAATCGATGTTGGGTATATTTAGTAGTTGTGGACTGTTATGGCCATTATTGAACTGTGTTTTCTAGAAGTAAGCAGCTTTAAATAAGACTTACACTTCTCCTACACTTGTCATCATATATCACTGTTTTTAGCATTCTATCTAGCACCGAAAAGGGTCTCTTAAACTGTTACAATTTCAAACTTGTAACAATAAAATAACTCTTTCTGGTGCTATGTAGAAACCTTTTCAAAAACGTTCTATATAGAACCATATACAACACATTCTTGGTCAATCTGAAGAACGATTTCACCATTCAAAGAACGTTTAAGCATGCAAATGGTTCTTTAAGCGTTCATGGTTCTATATAAAACCACAGTATTTTGTAAAGACCCCTAACGAACCATCATCAAGAGTGTAGACTTAGGTAGGTTTATAAAAAAAGTATATATATATATTTTGTCCTTTAAACTGTGTAAATGTCATGATGAGTGGACTAAAAGAAGCAGCCTAAAATTACTTGAAAAAAAGTATATAAACTTTTTGCTTATATATATATATATATATATATATATATATATATATATATATATATAGGCAGTTTAGGTCAATTAATGGAAGTAAATGGCACATTTTATATTTTATGGTTTTATTTTTTCTCGATGTCTTAAAATCAGCAACAAAAGTTTGTTTCCTGTTTGTTCACATATTTATCACTTTTAAAGTCCCCAAGAAATGGCAAGAAATTGAAAAGAAATGTTGAAAAGAAGACCTTGATCTCCAGGATCACTGCTTGAGCCAAAAATAGATACATGTGATGAATGAATGTGAGGCTGCAGCATGAGCAGGACGCACAGAGCATGGCCTTCGTGAGTGCAGCCTGGGAGCTATAAAGCTTGTGCGATGATGCTAAAGTGCTGGAGGGGGCAGGCTGCTTCAGGGCCGTGAGGAAAAGTTTCTCCACAGAGACTGATCCTACAGAAGCTCAGCTGATATTTCATGAGCTTTAAGACGGAGGCTGCAGATTATTTACAGCCAAAGGTGCAAAAACACGGCTCTACCGACCCGGAGTGAGTGATCTCAGCGTATGACTGATGAACAGACTGAGGTCTCTGAGGTCTGCAGGTGGAGCTCAGGGAGTTTGGAGACAGAGATGGATCTTGGCAGCCTGGAGCTTCTCACAGACTTTAGGGGCCCATCAGCATTTAATGTTTTTGGGAGCGGCTAGTGCTATTGCAGACCACAGAGTTGACTCGCTTATAGATATAGGACACCAGGAATGCAAAAATACCTGTGCACATGCACAAACGTTCATAACAGTTCAATGTTTGTAATCAACTATTGACCAAAAGATATTTTTAGATGTTTTATTCGCATCTCAGCAAGAAATTATTAAACGTCCAATATTTTTGGTCAAATTATCTGTGGCAAATTTTGATCTTTACTTCTGGACATTATTGATTCTAACTGCATTCTTGACCCTATAAAGCATTCCCTATTCTGGGTTCACCTACAATTTTGACCTTTTTCAGCTTCTAATTGTTTGAAAAGGTATTATTTTATATTTGTGTTTGCAAACAAGTTTGTTTAATATTTTTGAAAACACTGATTTAACTGATCGATTCCAAAGTTCCAAATTTATTTTGGGGAATTTTTTTTTTGTTTTTTTTGTTTTTATTTTTCTGTATTTCTAGTGAGAGTAAAAATGTTTTAAATGTTGATTTACTGTCTCAAAAAAATACTTTTTTTAAATTTAGAGTTATTATCTCAAAATAATCACTTATGTTTGGGGATATAGGAAGTGGGAATGCTGAGTGTGAGGAGGGTGCAGTAGCACCCCCAGATTTAAAGGACTACAACTGTTAATATTAATAATACTACTACTATTACTACTACTACTACTACTACTAATAATAATAATAATAAAGTTCTGAGCTTTATAATAATTCAAGCATATTAAAGTACCACATGTGCCTGTTTAAGAGTGGAGTTTTTACATTGTATTTATAGGCTTTTAAAAGCTGCAGTAGCCATGCACCGTTTAAGTTAATGAGCCAAATTGCTTCTTTTGCCAGCTGTTGGCCTCTCTGGGGGCTCGCTGTTAAATCACACTCTGGTTGAGGTGCAAAGAGGGAAAGTGAGTTATAGACCAGTTCTGAGCCCCAAAGCAGCTTAATATTGTTTTTAAACTTCAAACAAATAGTCTAATCTTCCAGTGTTAAATCTCATCATGTGACTGTGGGCGTGACATAGTGAGATACTGCACCACAGATCAACAATCTGAGTGTTCACCACAGAGAGCAACACCACAGAGAGTGTATGAGTGGTTTAATTTGTCAACTATAAGTGTATGTTGTCATCTCTCACTACATTATAGCACGTTATGACACAATCTGTTTGGTGTAAATTAGCAAAAAAAAAATTCCAGTTAAAAAAGGCAACTTATTTTGCTCAATGTCAGCGCTTACATCACATATATGTTGCTTGAAGCCTCAGCATCCCCAGCTTAAAAAACCTTCCCACATCCCTGCTTATGTTCTCAGTATTTTGATGTAGTATGTCTGAAAACTTTCACAACATTGTCACTTAGTGTCTGAAAATAAGGACTTTTTTTTTTTACTTCAAAAGATTGAATTACTATCCCAAAATAATGACATGTTGTCTCAAATTCTTGACTTACTATTTTGAAATATTGAGTTGTTTTCTAAAAGTAGTATCTTGAATTTTGAAATTTTGCAAAATGTTGATTTATGGACAAGGGGCTCCAAGTTTTATTACACACTTCTATAACATACGAAGAGCTCAGCCAGTTTGCATTGAAGTCCCTGTATTTATTGAATAAATATGTATGTAATAAGCCTGTGATTTTAAGGGGTTAATTATCTTACGGACTCATGATTTTGTGTTACTAAGAAATGTCAACATAATGTATTGAAACAGGGGGTTATTTAATTAAAAAAATAATAAAAGTCAATGTAATAAGTGATTATTTTGAGATTCACAAAACGTTATTACACCTACAGAATAAAAATGTTGAGAAAATAAGTCATTGTTTTAGCTTAAACAGAACATTAATGTCGAAAAGCACACAAAAATGTACAAAAAATAAATGCAGTGGGACAAAACTGAACACTGCATAGAAATGGCATAAAACCTCCTACAACGCAGGATGGATGGAGCTTTCTCTCTGGTTCTTGTGTCAGCATCTCTTCATATTTCTTAGCGATCATCCATTCTGTTCTTTCTTTACACATTTTCCCTCAAAGCATCTTCGTCTCCTATAGTGAGCGTTTTGGCAGGCTAACTCAGTCGGAGTAAAAGGCTGACAAAGCTGCTCTGCTCACCTTAAGCACTTTCTGTTGGGCCTCTACTCATATTAATGGGATCCTTTATTGAGCTGGAGCTATGATGAATGATACAGTCTGTACATACACAAGCTCACACCTTCCTTCACTAACACACTATCACTCGCTGCTTGTTGAGGGTGTTGTGCAGTCTGGCCTCAATATGTGTGTGTGTTGAGCCTGAGGCAGCGTGGAATAGTGATTTACTTTTACTTCCGAATCCATTTTCTCTGCTCGTCTCTCCTGGAAACATTGGTTTTATTTGGTGTATGTGATTTATCATAGTTTGACGTGTTTTGTCATTATCATAATCAGTCTCGATAAATCATGGGCTGACCGACAACAGTTATAAAAAAAAAAAGCTACTAGAAATGTTCAACAGACACACACACACACACACACACACACACACACACACACACACACATATAAATATGTGTACAACATATATATATATATATTATGCCTGATCGGTGTATATATACATATATATATATATATATATACACCGATCAGGCATAACATTATGACCACCTCCTTGTTTCTACGCTCATTGTCCATTTTATCAGCTCCACTTACTATATAGGTGCACTTTGTAGTTCTACAGTTACAGACTGTAGTCCATCTGTTTCTCTGATACTTTGTTAGCCCCCTTTTAACCTGTTCTTCAGTGGTCAGGACCCCCATGGACCCTCATAGAGCAGGTACTATTTGGGTGGTGGATCATTCTCAGCACTGCAGTAACACTGACGTGGTGGTGGTGTGTTAGTGTGTGTTGCACTGGTACAAGTGGATCAGACACAGTGGTGCTGCTGGAGTTTTTAAACACTGTGTCCACTCACTGTCCACTCTATTAGACACTCCTACCTTGTGAGTCCACCTTGTAGATGTAAAATCAGAGACGATAGCTCATCTGCTGCTGTACAGTTTGTGTTGGTCATCCTCTAGTCCTTCATCAGTGGTCACAGGACGCTGCCCACAGGACGCTGTTGGCTGGATATTTTTGGTTGGTGGACTATTCTCAGTCCAGCAGTGGCACTGAGGTGTTTAAAAACTCCAGCAGCACTGCTGTGTCTGATCCACTCAGACCAGCACAGTACACACAAACCACCATTAGCATTTCTGTAGCATTTCTGTTGGTCCATTCAGCACAGGAATAAAAAGGAATAAAAGGAGTGTGAGAGGTCTCAGTGCTGAAGGAATGAGTGTGTGTTGAGAGGTGTTACTCACGTTGATGTCCTCCAGTTGCAGCGTGTTGAGGGAGTGGTTGTTGCGTCTCCAGATAATTGGCGGCCGCTGCTCGCCCGTGATGCCGCATGTCAGCACCACGCTCTGACCCACCGTTACCGTGGTGATGCTCACTTTCTGCTCCTCAGCAAGACTCAGCTGATACACCTCTGAAAAAAGAGTGTGAGAGGGGAGTCAGAGTGTGTTTCAGGACCAGATCAGTACCAGATCAAAATGAAATAGTTTTGAAATATTATGGTACTGCTAGTTTCACAGAGTGCTAATTGCTCTTCACAACACTACAAAACTTTGTAACTCTATTTCTTTCCTTTTTTTAAGCATTTGAAAATACAGCTGTCTTTTATTTATTTGAAAGTTCATGATGAATGGAAAAATACAAATGGTTCCAAATTACATAGAATAAAATGATGTACAGTATTCCATAATGCACCACTGTATCCCTCAACCTCATCAGTTTGACCGAATCCACAATTTTATATCATTTTCATGTTTTTCTTACAGTGTTCTTTCACTACAATACCCAGCATGCATTATACAACTACTGGGAATCCCTGTGGTGTCAGCCAATCTCGAATGCTAGCTTAGTCAACTAAGCTAGCATTAGTGTAACCTTGATTGTCAAGATCATACAATCTACATTCAAGTTTTTTGTTTTTTTTTATCTCTTCAGCCACAGAAAATAGACAAACAGAGGCAAGATATCTAGACAGCCAGCATTGGTATTAATAACAAAGAACTTTCAAAAACTGTGTGAATGAGGAGAACGTTCTAGAACAAGGGCAATGAGGAGATCAGTGTAGAACAGTGTGAAACTTGAAAAAAGTTGTGGACTGGGGAGGCATTTGTAGAGCTGTTTAAATGGAGAAACATTCTACAAGGGTGTGAGACAGGCTAGAACATTCTAGAACAGGGTATGATCGGTGAAATCATTCAAAAACAATGTGAGATGCAAAGAATGGGCCTCATTCACCAAAAACCCACTTACACAGTTTTCACGAAGATTCTGACATTCACCAATGTTTTCTTATTTGGGATTTGTTATTAGGTAAGAAGTTCTGCGCTTTAAGAACACATCATGAATCTGACGTAGATGTTTTTTGAGGACCAGCATTGCTAAATGTAGCCTGAAGCTTTTAGCTTATTGTCCTCCATATCTGACAAGTCATTTCTGCCATTTGGAATTCATGCATCTGCAGAGCAATGATGATCTGATGATAGTTGTGAGAGTTGTCGTCTCAGCACTAATGTTAGCTGTCTGGAAAATCAAAACAAATCACCTAAAAAAATCCACCTCAAAGTATTAGTTTTTCAAAAATCCCTCCTACCTTCAAGATATATCATCAGAAGGGGGTGGTCCTAGTCTTTAAACTGGGAATTCTCCCTCTAGAAACTACTGCGGCACCGTTGTTGGATGTGAGTAGGCATGTTTTCTCGACTTGACTACTGTAATGCTTTTTTCACAGGACTTCCTGCAAGCACAACCAACAAACTACAACTTTCGCAAAACTCAGCAGCAACAATATTAACACAGACTAGAAAACAGGATCATATTAGAGCAGCTTTAGCATCACTGCACTGGCTGCCTGTTTCCTTTAGAATTGACCATAAAATTTTACTACTTAATAGTTCAGCACCTTCATACCTCTCTGAGTGCCTGATTGAATATGTTTCACATCAAGCTTTAAGATCATCTAGTGCTGCTTCTCTATATTCCACATATGAAAATTAAAAAGACAGCAGAGGCAGCGTTTTGTTTTTATGCACCAAAGATCTGGAACACGTTACCTATAAACATCAGTCAGGGTCCTTCTGTCTGTGTTATTGTTGGCCTTAGTATCTTTTTAAAACTTGAAAAAAGTTACTAGAAAGTTTAGAGATTTAACATTGTGTATATGTATCCATGTGGGTTTGCACATACTTATACTGAATGAGTCTAAAGTGTCATTTAGGATTCAAGGAGCAGTTCAATTAGCTGCTATCGAGTTAGAGAGGCATGAGGCAGCTATTTTATCTGCTGTTCTAAAAATTGTCATCATAAAAGGGAATAAATGAATCTACACACTCAAGAACAACAGACACTAGGAAATTAAACCAGGTCACATAAACGTAACACAGGTTAGAAATACATTGTTGTTAGCATGAAGAGCTGTTTATAAATAACAGGAATATACTTCACACTTCAGTTGGTTTTACTGTTACTGAAGCAAATCAATAATATCCATTACCATAGTGATACGAATCACATTCTGAACGTGTATAGAACTAAAGAAACAAATTAAACTCCACTTACACACAGGTGAAACTGAGGAATGAGCCAAACACTGACTGCAACAACCTCCCCAATAGAACCAATTCAACCCCTTTTTACTCCTCTTTAAATAAAACCCGTCATATTTGAAATACCTCACTGTATCTGTAAAGCATGGCACACTGGCTGAACAACTGACCCAATATAATGTTAGCAGCAGGCTTTATATTCTTATAAATAAGAAAAGACAACCAAATGAATGTTGTAGAATGACATGAATAGGAACTTTTGAAAACTGTGTGAATGAGGAGAATGTTCTAGAACAGGGTGAATGGGGAGATCTGTGTGGAACAGTGTAAAACAGAGGAAAATAACTGAGTATTGTGAACTGGGGTGGCTTTGTAGAGCTGTGTGAATAGAGGAGAACATTCTAGAATATTGTGAAAATAGGTTAGATCATTCTAGAACAGGGCATGATGGGTGAGATCTTTCAAAAACAATGTCAGACGGGGAGAATGTTCTAGAACAGTGTGAAAGAGGGACACACTGTAGAAAAGTGTGAGAATGGAGAACATTCTAAAACAGTGTGAGATATGTTAGATCATTCTAGAACAGGGTATGATTGGTGAGATCATACAAGAACAATGCCAGATGGGGAGAAGGTTCTAGAACAGTGTGAATGAGGGACACAGCTGTAGAGCAGTGTGAGTACTGTAAACATTCTAGAAAAGGATGAATAGAGGAGAACATTCTAGAACAGTGTGAGATGGGTTAGATCATTCTAGAACAGGGCATGATGGGTGGAATCGTTCAAAAACAAAGCAAGATGGGAAGAATGTTCTAGAACAGGGTGAATTAGGGACACAGCTGTAGAGCAGTGTAAGAACAAAGAACATTCTAGAAAAGCGTGAATAGAGGGAGAACATTCTAGGACAGGATGAAATGGGCTAGATCACTATAGAACTTGGTATGATTAGTGAGATCATTTGAAAACAATGTGAGATGAGGAGAATGTTCTAGAACAGTGTGAATGAGTACACACTGTAGAACAGTGCGAGTATGGAGAAGCGTGGGAATATAGGAGAACATTCTAGAACAGCATGGGATGGGCTAGATCACTATAGAACCAGGTATGCATGGTGAGATCATTCTAGAACTAATAGATAGGGCTAGAGCGTTCGAATACAGGTATTGCACACCAGACCAACCTTTGGATTTAGTGGAGAGTGTTGGATTGCAAGCACCAAATTTTGAGCTGGGCAGTTAGAATGCTATAGGCAGACACTTGTTGCAAAGTTTATCTGTTACTGTCCATTACTTTCTCCAGTATCTGCAGAGCAGAGCAGGAGGTTATACTTCAAAAACCCAATCACAATGAATTATATGGGAATGTTGTCATTTTTAAATCACCTAATCAAAATTGCATAAACATTTTTCACTTGTCCATCAGAATTTTGTAACAGTTTAGTATCGCGCAGCTCCTTCCAATTACAATGTAGCAGAAGATGTTCAGTATAGGCTGTTTCACCATTTGTGTCTGTTCTAGCTTGGAAAAAGGTAACAGTGAACAAGCGTGTGATGAATAAGGGGAAAGAGTTTATGATTTTAAAGATATTTTTATGTATAGAGTAGTTTGGAACTGGATATTGGATCTCCAGTAAGGTTGATTTAGTGGGACAGTTACTTGTGTAAAAGGTTAATGGCCGTTGTCCAGATCAGGTCTTATTGAATGTTCTTGTGTTTGATAGAAGTAGACATTTTTTTTCCATAGATATATGATCTATTAGTGAATTTGTCCAGTGAGTGATAGTAATGGTGTTTTTTGACTTCCAGTTTGAGAATGAGATAATCGTCAATGTTTTGATTATATATGAACAGTTAAGGATATTTCTAAACAGAAGAGTAAGTTCTGTGTAATCACACATTGGAATCAGTTTGCAGTTAATACACCAGTCATTATTACTCAAGTCTAAAATATAAAACTGCCAATAATGCTAATAATAATAATAATAATAATAATAATAATAAATTATAAATAACAAATTCTTTTGTTTATTTTTTTTTACCTCAATTGAAGGTGCAAAACAAAAAAATCTTTGGTCTTGATATCATTTGTATGTCTACCAGTTTCTAAGTGGGCCTATCAATATAACCGGGTGGACAAGGCCCCCTGAGGCCCACCCACAGCAGCTGGCATGGTCAAGTGATCAGGGTTTTACTGCTTTACTGCCAGAGCCATAACTTATTAAGAAACTTTGTGACTATATTGAGAATGAGTTTGTAGTAAGCAACTCTAACGTTTCTCAAAAGTTTCTCAAGCTGCTAAAATTTATTGATGTCGCTGTCCAAGGTACCCACATTGTAGGCATCCACAGGGATACTTCAACCTGTTTGACCCGGTCGTACCTGGCTTCACCATGACTAACTAGTGCATTAGTAGTTCATTTTCAGCAAAAGAAACAGCCCAACATGACTTGGAAAAAAGTCTGGTTCCATTGACTTACATTAAAAGTAAAGTATGTTTTTCCCTTTTCCTGTAAAGTTACAATTTTGGAGATATGAGGTTTTCTTCCTACAACAGCAACATGTTAAATTAGAGGTTCCTAATTCAAACCACAGGGATGCTCAGACAGCACACACATTAGTTCTATTCCAGACCGCAACACAACATGAACTATGGAATCAAGGATGGTAGAATAATAATTACCTGAAGCAGTAGTGTTTTGAGCTGGAACATAATAATAATTATAATAATATAAACCAGCTGGGCATCCCCACGTACTGGCTGAGGAACCACTGTGTTAAATAATTGTGACTATTTTCGCCCATTTTATTTTAAACCTATTAAGCCAAATACCCGTTAAAGCCCTCCACTCCTAAATACCAAGTATGTAATCCCCC